TTCAACACCTTCCTCTCTAAGTCAGGATAATAGTCCCTACCAGACCATGCATGGTGTGAAAATGTGAGTTTTACCAGCAGGCAACAGAAAAATAAAAAAAAACCAAAAACAACAAACAAAAAACAAACCTCAAAAAAAAAATCAAACCAATAGCTTGGTTAAAAGTTAGAGGAATCAAAACAAAATTGAAAAGTTTTCTTAATATTCATATATGTATGTATACACACACACATATATATATAAAAATCCTAAACCAAAATTTATGACTTTTCATACTGGTGTATATCACAATATATCATAGAACCTGCACACAAGACCTGTTAATTCCCTAATATCTGGATATGCATTGCCTTTTGCTGTGCTATCTGTCCCCATCATCAATGCCTACATTTTGCCTATAGCCCTTTGCTTTCTAGTTTCCATTTTTTATAACACTTTAAAAGGTTGTATTTCAATACAATACGAATAAAAAAAAAAATGCAAGCATAGCTCTAACAGTAAAAGGCTGCAGCTACATACAAGCAAATGCTTTTATTTAACTTCAGCTGCGCTGAGTGTCTGTGCTCAAAACTTCTCTCCTACATCTCTGTTTCATGTGGGCAATATATCATTACAGGCATCTGATGCTTGGAAATTTTAAAAGTTTCTGCTTTTCTAATTATCACTGTTACTATACATATATTTGCATAAATGGTGGGATTCTGGAGTACCTATAAAGCAACTTCATTGCTTATTTCTATACCAAATACATTACGATTTTATATAGAGTTATCTTACTGATAATTGTTCTCTGCGATATTTCTCCTAACTCTTAAACTGAAACATTTGTTTGTCTACATGATTTCATGTGCCAAGTGTAATTACTTCTAGAGCAGGTCTTCTGTGTCTTGAGAAAGTTTATTTCTTCATAACACTGAGATGAAATTACACTGCACCATTGAACCTGACTTATTAAACAGAATTAGGCCAAAAGACAGCTACCTGATGCAAGATGTGTTTTATTTTTTGAACGTCAAAGTGTGTGAAGCTGGCAAAATGTTGGCTGTCCTGCTCTGTTGTCAAACTGCAAATAAAGGTATTGTTAATGTGAGAAAGCAAGCTATTCACAATTTTAAATTACTCTGTTGTCAGCTTCCCCATATAATTATGTAGCCCTAGAAACTGCAAAGAAAAAGTAATCAAAACATTTACGCAGAATTGGAACTGTGGATTACTGGGAAAAAAAGTTTTATCAGCAAAGATACGGCTAAAGGATTTTAGAGAGTTTATTTTGCCTCAAGCAAGGCCTTGTGTACACTAACAAAAATGAACCTCAAACTCCAAGACAACATAGGAAATTTTTTTTGTTATCATCCTTCCATATCTCTGTTATTTAGTAAATATTCTAAGTAATTCATCTATTTGAATAGTTGCTAAGGAGTTGCATGTCTTCTCTAACCTGCACATTTGTCAAACTCCACAGTGGAGGATGTGTAATTCCCTATATTTAAACCTAAATAGTGTAAGGAAAATACAAAGTTTAACCCTTTTGGTTACAAAAATATATGCTACATGAACAGTAAGATCAAACCGCTGCACAGAAACTGTTCCTGTGGCTATCAGTGAGACTTGCACGTACATCACATCAGCACAAATAGATTCCTTTTTGTAAATATGTATAATTTACATTCTTATAATTATTATGGTATCTGATTACCTCAACTTCAAAATTCTTTTAATTTCCAAGGATGTGTCAGACAGTGAAATTCTTCCGTCCGTTTGGTCTATTTATTTTCTGTAAACAAGATCTGCTTTCAGAGTTCCTGGATGGATGTCAAGTTACCTAATTGCAGTACAGCATGGAGTAATGCATTTACCTGTGCCTAACTTGGAAGTATTCATTGATTTATTCTGTTTTCGTTTCCCTTGGTAAATTAAGTATTTGGAATGCTTTTGTTCAAGACACTGTTGACTTTAAAAAATTATAATTACAACTGGAGCCTGAAAAAACTTCTTATATAAGTATATATTGCTGTTGATTTTTTAAGTGAATATATTTTTCGATTTAGAGATCTGAAAGTAAGAAGTGTGCTTAAACGTTTTATGTAAAATGCAACACAAGGCTTAGTTATAACAATACTATGGCCATGTTGACATACCAGGAGAAGCTCATGTCAGACTCCTACAAACCTCTTCCTGCAGCCATCAAAACTGAAAATTCTAATTTACTAAGCAAACAAAATCTAGAAAATGCCTGGGATATGAATATATAGAGTATATAAAATTAAAATATAAAATATTAATTTTAATTCTTGAATCTGTAGAAATTCATAGAATCATAGAACCGCATTCATTGCAAAAGACCTCCAAGATCATTAAGTCTAACCTTTAACCAAACACCATCATGCCCACTAAATCATATCTCAAAATGCTGTGTCTATTAGTTTTTGAACACTTCCAAGTTTGGTGACTCCACCACTTCTCTAAGTAACCTGTTCCAATGCTTAACCAGCCTTTCAGTGACATTTTTCCTGATATCCAACCTGAACCTCCCTTGGCATAACTTGAGTCCATTTCCCCTTGTCCTGTCACTTGTTGCCTGGAAGAAGAGGCTGACACCCACACTGCCACAAAATCCTTTCAGGTAGTTGTAGAGAGTGATAAAGTCTTCCCTGAACAACCTCAGCTTCCTCAGCCTCTCCTCAGAGGATTTACATTCCGGATCCTTCGTCACCTTTATTGCCCTTTCTCTGGGGTGGCATTTTTTGTCCCCAGAACTCTCCTAACTTTGCCACCAGTATTTAAGTTAAGAAAGTTGAAAACAACTACTTTGATCCCAGTGGTAAGAAAAGAATGTTACTTCTTGACTTTTGCTGAAATAAGTCACAACATTTATACACTTCAGAGTAGATCGTTAGGAACAGGCCAAGGCACATCAGGAACCTCCTGGACTTGACAAGGTTTCCACAGACTTGTTAAATTTCATTGGGTGTCTATTCCATTGCCTTGCTTGTGTGTAAATTTTTGAACACATGTAAGCTTCATTATTCACAACTGGCAAAGATATAAATTGCATTCTGCTTTATTTTGAACTTGCCTTCTGCCACTTTTATCTTTCATGCATTGCAAGAGCAGTTGCACAGTCTTGTACACATTCACTGTGCCATTCTGGTATTGACAGACCTTTCCCATACCTTACTCATCTTTTTTTTTTTTTTCCAAAATAAAGATTCCTGCCTTACTGCACCACTTGATATATGGAGGATACTCCATACTTACAGTCATGCCTTCTGCCTTTCTCTGAATCTTTCCATTTCAACCAGAATTTCCAATTTCTCGGAGGCATGAGAAGCAGAACTACTTGTTATATTTAAATACAGGCAAAGGACAGATTTATGCAAGAGCAAACAATATTGTTGTGTTTTCTATTCCTTTCCAAATAATTCTTAAATACACTTTCCTTGTTCAGCTGATAATAGAGACTGAATTTTCATTTAATCAAATTACCTATTACTACACTAACTATATTACTGTTTACACATATAAGTTTGCATGTAAAGCTATTTTTTTTCCATATGAAAATTTTTTAACATTAATTTACATTTAATTTCTTCTACCATTTTGAATCCATTTACTCAGTCTGGTAGGGGGTTTATACATTTCTAAGATCAACTTTCACCTTTAAAACTGTGAATAATTCAGTATTATTAGTGGGATTTCTCATCATCCTGTTTACTCTCTTTTCCAACTCACTTATAAGTATGTTGAATGCCACAGTCCCAACAGAGACCCTTCCACTTTTTTCCCTATATCTAGCCTTTTAGAAAACTAATACTTTATTTCTAATCCGTTTCCTGCTTCTTAACCAGTTACTGATTCACCATTTTGTTTTTCGTATTCCACATTGTAAGAAACTATTAGTTTCCTTAGAAACTTATGGGAAGACCTTGTCAAAAGCCATTGGCAATCTAGGCAGGATCTACCAACAGCATCACATTTGTTGATCCCTTCAGAGAGATTGGACAGGTTTACAAGACAGGGAGGGCATTGCTTAAAAAAAAGGCATATTAATTTTTCCCAGGAAGATATTACACATTCAGGAGTCACATAATTCAATACTTACTTTCTTTTAATTTCCTATTTTTAACAGTACACATCTAGGGCTTTTTAACATATTAAACCCTTTTAAGAAAAATTATATCCCATTTGCTATTCCCTAATTACCACTTAAAAAGACCCTTCCCGAAAAGGAATATTCTGGCATGGGAGCTACCCCAGTTCTTTCTATAACTTAATTCATCCATGGTGAAGCAAAAATAGAAGTTAATGGACACTTTGTGGCTCCTGGTATTTATTTAAATGAACTTTTTCTGTTTCTATTTTCAAGCAATATTGCAACTTGTTTACTTCTGATTTTTAAAACCTACCAACTGACTAATTTGGAAACAAATCAGTTATCAATTCAGTTACTTTGTAGAAATTATTTCTTGCACTCAAAACTCCATAACAGCCAAACTGACAAGGAGCCAACAGGAAGCAGCTTAATTTTAGAAATGCAACCTTTATTCCCAAAATTAACTTGTCATTGAAATTGTTTAAACAGCACACCAACAAAGACATATTTCTACCGTTTTTTAAATCCAGAAACTAAGAGTAAGATGTAATTACATTTTTTCCCTGAAAAAAAAAGTATCAGAAAAGTGAAGTCATTACATCCTAGATTAGATGACTAATCTGTTTTTACGAGCTCATGACAACACTGAAGAGTTTTTCACCATTCTGGAACTTGACTACAAGTCTCTAACTCATTTTCTTGACAAACAAGGAAGTCTCAAACAGTTTTAATTGACTCAGAGATGTTAAGCTTCAATTTTCCATGTGCCACTCACCTCTGAACTGTCTCTCTCTTTAAATGTCAGTCTTCTGGGAGAATAGGACGTGCCTATGCTGTTTGCAGTGCCACTGACTGCTAAACAGACGTGTGGGTGGTCACAGTTTGGGAATGGAGGACAAGGACTTACCTGCTTCTTTGGCAACATCTGCAGTTGAAATGTTTTGGAGGTTTGAGTGCACTCTGAAGGTCACAGCTGGTCCCAGCACGCTGAAAGAGATTATTAAAAAATGTAAGATTCATAATCAAGAGACATGGCATAATATTCCTTATCAAAATAGGTTTTTAAAGAGAACCTATTAAGACACCATTTAGTCCTCTTCCTTTTGCTTCATTAGCTACATTTGCATACATTTTTATACCTCTTGTGGTTTCTTGTGTGTATCTTGTGCCTGTTTGAAAGAATTCCAACAACATTAACTAAACTTCAGAACACTCCTGTAAATAGTATTCTTATTAAGAAGGTGGCAAAATGGAGGCACTGAAATTGTTATTCACCCAAGTACAGCACAGACCATCACTGGAATTCAGCATCCAAAGAAGATTACATGTAGTTTAACATTTTATTTGCTTAACATCAACACAAGTTTAGTCCTGTTGTCACAACCGCAAGTCAGAGGGACAATACAGAAACTCAGAATTTTTATCTTGATCATATTCTACAGGAACACGTGTGGGGAAAAGATTTTGAGCATATCTGATCCAAGAGCTGGTTTTGATCAGAAAGATACCGCAAAGTATTTATCTTTTAACAATAGAAGTTGTTGAATAACTTATGAGGGGAAATGGTTTGACTCTGCAGGGACCTTTCTGGGTGTAGCCTGATGGCCCTTTACAGCACTAAAACCTACAAGACCTTTACAGACGAAGGTACTGGTTAGCCAGATGAAGAGAGGCAGAGTAAAGCACTCAGGGTTTCACAAAAAAATATCATTGTGCACTTGTAAAGAAAAATAAATCCATACAAGTAATATTACATTCATTCTCCATCCATCCCAATAAATATACAACACATATGCACATCTAAAGAAAAGAATGAAGAAATTTCAGTTCGGATATCCTCAAAACTACGTTAAAATACTTATCCATGAAAAATATAAAAAATACATATAAACATATAGTAAATATAGTTCTGAAAAAAATTTATGGGTAACAAGAGACTATGGAAATATTAATGTAAGAATTTACAGAGGAGAAGAGTGTAGGTGCTCAAGCAGAACAAAAATTGGCCCTATTTTATAAAAGTTTACTTACATATTATGTGTTATGCAAGTTTTGAAGTTTTTATTATTCATATTATCAGTGAAAAGAATTACATTTATACTATGAGGAAAAGCCCTACTTATAAGGTGAAGTACATTGGCTGGACCCATACATTAACATATTTTGACCTTCTATAGCTGTGGTTTATAAGAGAATGAAATTTGAAAAATTGCTGCATAAAAGAAATAAATTGAAATATATTTTTGTTGCAGGGCTTGAAATGAAGTAATATGTTCCTCTTCTGCATTCATAAAATAGAGAGCACTTAATGAAGTGTGCTTAATTGCATCACATATATCCTAGACAGAAATACCTCTAAACTTTTTCCATTTCAGGCACAAAACCCCTCTATTATTAACCATAAGACTTTGCTTTGAGGTCACAAAGGGAATCAGAGTAAGAATAAGAAATATTCTTTTAATCTTTTAGTAGCAAAGCATGCATTGTGCACATTTTATTCTGGACTTAACAGGAACTGCCACTAATCAATCATTTTGCTCCAAATACTCTTTAAGGAAGAGAAGAAAAAAACCAGAGATTTTACTGCTAAAGGACACTCTAGATGGCCAATCACTAATGGCCAAGAAAGACTTTTAATAACTTTAAGTAGTTATAAAACATTTCTCAACATCATATTAATATTGTAGATCATAATACTCCACAATTGCAAAGTACTTTTTATTTGGGATAACTGCTTTACAAAAATCCAGGCTGTTCCCCAATTCTGTCACTAATGCTGGGATAATCAAACATAAAATGCAACTAGGAATTTCAGGATACCAAACACTGAATATAACTACTGCCCTTTCTGCATTGCCAACGTAAGAGAAATGTTGATTTCTCTCTGGGTGCTCAGATATTTGCAGGCCAATGAGCAATCTGCTTTAAATATAAGTAGGCATCACCCCAGTATAGAGCTGTTGTATAACAAAGATGAGAGGGGGAACTTTAGATATTCTCCTCAAATCTTCACTGCATAGTCCATTATAGCTGAGAACCTGGAACCAACACACAGTTTCAAGCACAGCATAGTTGTACTTTGGCTCTATCAGCAAAGACATAAAAAGTTTCCTGCCCTCCTTCCCTTACCTGAGAGTTTTGCTTCTACTTCTTGGTCACTCCCCACTTCGTCCCCATAGTTCTCCCCTGCCCCACTCCCCGCAGTCCTGCACTTCTTGGTGTCATTAAAGTCACACAGATTAAAACTGGATCATTCCAGCGACCCTGCCCAGGCAGTGAGAGACGGGGATTTCCAAGGAGTGAAGCATTTCAGCAGCCATGGTACTATTCTCTAGTGACTCCACCTGGATAATCCAGGAACACGAGAGGATCCAAGTCATGCCCATGTAAGTGCTGCCACAAACACTGTCATTTCTCCTCACTACTCAGGGAAATAAAGAGCAAAAAACAGGGTGGGGAAGAAAATTCTTTATGCAAGCGGGATGCTATTGTGCTAATGCTATCATTTTCCAAGAAAGAATAAATCTCAGAATCATTTAAAACACCCACTCATATGTTGCTCTGTGGGATATTGTTTTCCTCTGGATTCTTGTACATAAGAAATCACCTGAGCACCACACCAGCATGGCTTCACTAGGTATATTCGCAAAATACAAAAAATAAAGTAGCTCTTGTCACAACTTTTTGCACCTTGGCATTCTGTTTATTTAAAAGCAAATAAAAGACCTCGAGATTACTTGGTCAAAATTGCATTTCTGCCTGATGTTTTGGGAACTGACTGCTTCAGGAGCTCATAAAATGAGATTTTTCTCATGGGGGGCTTCTGGCAAAAGCACTCAATAAATAAACATTTCAATAACAAAAGATGCCCTTTGGGGAATTCCTCACTGTTCATTATGTATCGGATGAGAACATTTAAACAAAACCAGTAATTATTTGACTGCAAAATATTTTTTAAAGGCTTTTTAACAAGAGGTCAACCAGCCTGAAAAAAGGTTCCAAGATGTATAAAATGCACCCCTGATAGTTCCTAACCAGGAATTTTAAGCCGGGTAAATGAGACTGCTTTTCTGTGAGGCTGTCAAACCCTCTGAAGCCTCGCTAATATTAATGGCAATTGTCTTTACAAGGCTCTAAGTACAGAGGCTCGCTAAGTGCACACGTTTTTTTATGACCTGACGAATTGCAAACAAACCATTCCCACAGCTGAGGGAGGTGCTGGGGGGAGCAGAGGCATCCCTCCTGGCTGCTTACATCAGCCAGCACTCAGCCAGCTGGAGTGGGGAGAGTACTCAGATAGGTAACCACAATGTCCAGGCTAACCTAACCTACATCTGAGACACACAGCTGCTGCAGCTGAGATTAAAAATGTTATATAAACGTGATTAAACCAATATTTTTTTGTCTATCCCTCCCCCAAGCTGTATGCTACTACAATTGCACCTATGCAAATTTGTAGTTGACTCTTCTGATATAAATGAACTTATACCCACCTAAGTAAGAGCAGATTGGGAGTTTTGCAAGGCATCTGGACTATACAATCGTAACCACACTAAGGACTTTTTTCTTACATTTTGTTAGGATGATTTTTTGAATAAAGGTAAGCAGTCCTGGCTTCACAGCTAATAAACAGTGACTTCTCCCCACACAAAATATAATGTTTGTTGCAATGACCTGCTAAATTTATTACTCAAAATTTACTGACTAATTACCTCCTCTGTTGGCTGTCACAACTTCTGCTTTTTTTTTTTTTAAATTTCAGTAATGTTGCCTTCAGTCATAATAGGGCTTTTTTTAACAAAGACATTCAAAGCATATTGCAAATTGTCACCCTTATGTGCTGTTGTCTTTTATTCTGTTTACTAGAGATGAAATAATTACAGTGTTTATACCAAAATGACTTGAAGGTTGATTGCTGATTTAATAATATCCCCTCCCCTTGGGTTTATATTTCTCATCTGAAGGTGGGAGGGTACAACACACACAGAAACAAAGAATATTCTTTGTGTAAAATAGAAGTATCTCCTTTCATTAATTGTTTTACGACTAACAACATTCTTCTTATATTTTTCCTGTCAACAAATGAATGATCTGAATAAACAGAGCTGGAGCATGATCAATATGGTAAAGTCCATATCACTTTCAAGCCGTAGGTTATAATTATATTTATGAATGACAGGATTTGAATCTCCATAAATTATGTACCAAGCTTTGCATGCCTATTCCTCTCCCTCGTGTGTGTGTACTTCAGTATTACAATATCACACCGAAGGTTTAGTGTGAGATACAGTCACAGTCTATCATACCCCCTAGTGGAAAAGGATTTGAGAAACAAGTGGCAACATGGTTCTGTGTACTCTTGAAGATGAGACATAGAGCTGATGCCAGACGGAAATGAGTTGAGGTGGCACCGCATTTTTAAGAGATATAGGTAGAGTTCAATTTTTCAAGACTGGAGGAAGATGAGGAGATTAGGATTGGATATTTCCAACATGAAACATTCTCTTAATGACCCTATTTCATAAAACAGAGCTTGCCTTAATAAAGCTGAGATTTGAAATTAAAGTCACTACTTGTCTATATGTTCATTTCAAAATCCTTTAATTTCTGGAGGTTAAGAAAAGCAATTAGTAACGCTCCAGAGGACTGTGCAAAGCAAATTTTATAGCAGTGAAGGTAATTGTCTCAGGAAACCTTTGGTGGGCTTGAACTAATGACTTGCAATGTGTACATGTTTCTGTTCTTTCTGTGTTTAGGAATTTGAAGCTTATGTCCATTGTTTATATTGCAATGAAGCCTTCTTTTCACCTTCTCAATTTTGGAAATTATAAAATGTTCCTGCTGCTATAAATGTGTTATATGTTATATACAGAAGTATATAAACATACTTATGTCAAATCAAATTAATGGAGAAAAGCACATAATTAAAAGCAGCATTTTTCTACTACAGTTTATTTATACAACATGATTTACAGAGAAAAGCAAAG